ATCTTCAGGTATAGTGTATCGTTACAGACTAGACACCATGTTGGTGAAGCCTAGTGTTTGAAGGTCTGAAGATGAATGAAAGGTTGAAGGTTCAAGTCCTGCACAAATTTGTTAAAAGCATTAGTTGGATACAAAAAGTAAACTTTATAGCAGTTCTTGTGTTGCACTGAATCACAAAAACAGTTAATTTCACAGCTGAACAGTGGGTTAATTTCAGGTAATATGCAATTTGCATTTGGTTTTAGAGAACGATGAATGATATGATTGAATCTACCCAAATGGATAATAGTGATGACTCATTTTGTGACTTGCTTTAAACGTATTGCAATATGATTAATTTGAAAGATATTCATCCATTGACTGGAAATCAAACATTTACAGAGATTTTAGATTTGTCTAGGAGACTTTCTTGATGTAAGATGTACAGTATGTTGTCAAATCTCAGGGCTGGTTATCCAGAGGTTGTTGGTTGGATCGCCCAAAAAGCAAGTCATGACCTGTCACAATTATGGCCTTCAGCAAGGCACTTAACCTTAGGTTTCGTTCCCTGGGAAAGTCTAAATAACGGCAAAGATGTTTCTGAATGAACCCAATCCATGGTTCTCTTCTCTTTTCTCCAGAACCTGTAACTGACGTCAAGATTTCGTCCAATCTACCTGAAGCTGTAGAGTTCAACAGCACTGTGGTTCTTTCCTGCTCTGCCAAAGGCTCCTTTACTTACGAGTGGCTGAACAATTCAGTCCCTTTGGTGGTGGATGGCACACATATGAAACTAAATGCAGTCGGCGATGAGCTAACTATCGCTGAAGTTCGCCGTACAGATCTGCGAGGACCCATCGTCTGCATTGCAGAAAATGCACTGGAGTCAGGGAGGAGCGCTCCCTTCAATCTCACTGTGAGCTGTACGTACCTGATCACACCCACACTTAGTCTAAGACAAATACACAAATGCCTTAAAGGAACAGTTCAGCCAAAAAGTTGTCATTGATTACTCACACTTATGTTGTTCCAAGCCCATATGATGTAACCTTTTTCGTTTAGGCAATACTTTCCATGAATTGACAGTTCATAGTGACCATGTCTTTCAAGCTAGAGATAGGTCTAGAGAAAAAAGCACCATGAGGGGTGCATACAACATCTGCACTATATTACAAGCAGTTTAAAGCCATTCAATGGCTTTGTGTGAGGAACAGTCACCATTTATGTTGTTTTTAACTGAAAGTCTTCACTTTTGTGCCTAGAAAATGTTATTGTCCATGTTTGTCCAGAGTGTCATGTGTAGTAGCATGAATACAATCAGTGTTCGAACTATACCGTGGACGTTGGGGGAGCCCACATGTTTGTTTGGTTTTTTTTATAACGGGTGTTGGGGGGGTGGTCGTGCGCTTGCGCGTGGGCTTACAATGACTTACAAAGATACATAACAGCTAGTGTATGCACTACTTGCTTTTATGCAAGCAAATCACTATACAGGATTTACCCTATTATACTTTATCGACACGAATTGACAGTCACCCACAAATAGTCTATAAATAAAGCATCAGGCTGTCTTTCAGTTCACATGAACAACGGTTAAAGTTACTCGTCCATAAACATGAGTGGAATTTACACCGCAGCGCCCCCACACCTTGATGCTCATGACAAGAATAGCATGTATAGTTATCTTTATTGAAGTGAATTAGGTTTAAATCATCAGTCATGCATGAATGAATGATATTTTTGCAATTTTACACATAATAATCCACGATGATCACATTACACAAAACTGAAATTGCACGTCAAAATAACACATTGTCAATATTTTTTGAGACCCCCCAAAATTCCACAAATCACGTTTTCAGGGGAGCCCATGTCTTATTAAGGGGAGCCAAGCTCCCCCGTAGTTCGCACCCTGAATACAATGTACTCTTTTGTTGGTGTGAATATGGGCTAAATATAAGATTTAGCATGGAGGAATAATATCAATTAAAAGTGACTTAAATTTCAGTCTGTTCCTCAGCTATCATCTGAATTCAGTAGTTTATTGGTGCCTTTTTCATGATTTTACAACAAAGATTATGTGATTCACATAATTTCGCACAATTCTTTGCATACAAGTGCTCGCAGTAAAGTTGCAAATTTACCACAGCAGCACAGGTGCTAGTGGAGATAAGTTGAGATTGTCTTGTTTTTACTGTCTGCACTATTTTACACATCTGCAGATGGTGTGCACTAGAAAGCACACATGACAGCAGAGATCAGAAGAGACTTTCTAGTTCAGGCAGGTTCTGCTGCAGGTGCAGGAAAAAATGCAGGCTGAGCTTAGAAAAAATAGGGTTGTGAATGAGCCTGTGAACAGCAGGATGGCCATTTTAAAATAGGGTTTGTTTGTGCATGTGTGCATTTACAGATCGAATCTTTTTGAAGTGCATGGTGTGCTCATAAAGTAAATGCATTGCAGCAGAATCTCTTAAAGCCTTAGATTATCAGTGCTTTCTAAAAACATTGTTTTGAGTTGCAATGAGATTCATTGGCCTGAATTTGAACTATAACCACATCCAGATACTCAAAATACATCCTCTTCATTTATAGATATCATATACAATATCTTGATAAAATGGAGTATGTGAAATGGTGTAACATGGCACAACGTTTGATGTTTTTCTTCTAGTAAAAACTTGTGTTCTTGTATTTCTTGTTAAGCCTTTGTTGTCAAAGACTAGAATTGTATTTCCTAAAAAAAAAAAGGATTGGGATACATTTTGCAAAAATCCATAAAACATAGCTACATTGCAAGCACTTTAATAAACCTTTGCTTGATATCTGTCTGTCTAGATGGCCCAGAGAAAGTCGTCATGACACAAACTCCAACAGATTCATTCCTCAAGAAAGGTTCTAACTTAACCTTTGCATGCTCAGCCCAGTCTGACCCTCCCGCTCAGCTCCAGTGGATGTTTAATGGGGAGGAGATGCCTCAGAAGACCACGGCCAACATTACCCTCACCAATGTAGAGGAAAAACACAGTGGGAACTATAGCTGTGTGGCCTACAATGCAAAGACCAACCGCTACGTTTCCTCGCAGGTTGCTGTGGTGTCTGTTCTAGGTAAGTCAGAAGCCTAAAGCCATGTACAGATGCTTTGAATACGAACAGAAGTTTCATCAATTGTGCATTGCTTCTCTAGTACTGCTATTACAGCAGTCTGAATAAATGCAAATAAATAGCCTACAGTCCACTAAAGAATTGGTTCTTCCAATGAGAAAGTTTTTTTTATATATATATTACGGTTTGGGCAGGTACCGCTTGGCTAAAGTTTCACTCACAGAATACTGGAGGGATCTGTCAGTGCATGGGTTGATCTTAAAGTTCTAACCATAATGCGTTTTTTTGTGCTATTGATTTTGTATAAATTTTAATGTAAACTGTTCATGCAAAACAGATTTAACGAGATCAAATATGAAAAACGCTTTTTTGGTTACAAATGCATTTCTCAAATGCATGTTTTCTAGATGATTTGAGAGAGTTAATTTGCAGCTGTTTGATGCGTCTTATCCGAAACTAAAAACACAAGCAGTGAGGAGGAAGACAAAATGTGCTGAACGGAGGAGTTGCAGGTATTTGGTGAATGCAATGAGTCTGAATCAAACTGGTGCATTCCACAGTAATGATGTCTGAACAAACAAGGCGATGGTCAAAAGTAAATGCTGTTATGAGAGATTTTGTTGAGAAAACCCCTTGAGAGATTATTTCACGCGGCCAGATTGTAAGGTGACCATAGATCTTGTTTTTTTGCACACACGTCCTGGCCGGGATTTCTAAATTGCCTAAGATGTCTGTGTCCTTTTTTATCCTTTGATTGTTATTGACGTGCTCGCCACAGTGCTCATACATTATGTGCGCATATTTGCAATGTTCTCTGTAGATCCCGCCTTCTCGCAGGCCACGATTGGTCGATTTTGTAGAATGCCTGCATGCGATTGGTCAAACTACTTTACAGTCATTAATTTCAGCAGGTCTGAAAACAATGGCAAAGCAAAGGTAATTTACAAATCCCGGGCAGGATTGTCTTTGCGCCTTTTTTTTAAACAAGACTCACCCACTTAGACAGAAAGCCACCATCTAAATGAAATTTAAAATGACCAATCCCAGTTGTGTGCCGTTTATAGTACTATTCAAAAGTTCATGGTCAGTATGTTTTTTTTTTCCTCTCGTTTGAAAGAAATTGATACTTTTATTCAGCGTGGATTCATTAAATTGATCAAAAGTGACAGTAAAAGATTTCTATTTCAAACAAATGCTGTTCTTTTGATTTTTCTATTCATCAAAGGTACCTAAAAACAGTTTCCCACAAAAATATTAAGCAGAACATCTGTTTTTATAAAAAAAAATATGAAGTGTTTCTTGAGTAACATATATGTGATCCTGGACCACAAAAGCAGTCTTAAGTCGCTTGGGTATATTATAGCCAAAAAAAACATTGTATTGGTCAAAATTATCGATTTTTCTTTTAATGCCAAAAATCATTAGGATATCAAGTAAAGATCATGCTCCATGAATATATTTAGTAAATTTCCTACCGTAAATATATAAAAACTTAATTTGAGTAGTAATATGCATGGCTAAGAACTTCATTTGCACAACTTTAAAGGCGATTTTCTCAGTATTTAGATTTTTTTGCACCCTCAGATTCCAGATTTTCAAATAGTTGTATCTCGGCCAAATATTGTTTGTTTCATAACAAACCATACATCAATGGAAAGCTTATTTATTCCGCTTTCAGATGATGTATAAATCTCAATTTCAAAAAATTGACCCTTATGGTCCAGGGTCATATATTAGAATTATTTCGGAAGGATCATGTGACGCTCATGATGATCTCAGTATTACTCTTTCACTGTATTTTTAGTCAAATAAATGCACCCTTGGTGAACTTTTGAACTTTTTTTCTCACCTTGTAATGAGGGTCCATATTTTGAAAGCACCACTTATTACTTGTCTCCTCTTCTGTTGTGTTCTGCTAGAGGCCTTATCTGGAACAAATATCTCCAGCTCCTCATCACTTCTCATCGCTGGCAACAGCACGGTCAACATCACCTGCTCGGCAGCTGGTGGTAAAGCCGAAAGCGTGGGATGGCTAAAGGAGAGCAAACCTGTGACTTCTAGTGACCGTATAATTCTCTCAGCTGACAAGAAAACTCTGACCATCGTTAAAGTTGTTAAAGAGGATGCTGGCAACTACAAGTGCCAGCTGAAGAACAAAGTCAACAAAGATGAAAGCACCTATGTGATGGTGATCAACTGTAAGTTTCCAAGAGAGGAGAGATTCATTGAAATACTGTTTGTGTGAGATGCTCTTCACTGTGAATGCTCATACGGTACATCTATTCTTATATAAACTGTTGCATTGAATTGAATACAGCAATCAACTTAAGAAAGGGTTTTACGTAACAATAATTAACATCCACTGTGACCCAACCAAACGTGATGTTAAAACTACAAGTTTAAAACTTACATTTAATGCCCATATAATTTTTTGACTTTTGTACTAAACAAGGTATTTAATTTTATATGAAGTAAATGTCATTTTATTTACATTTTAGATAATTATTTTTACAAGATTTACAACTCAATTAAGATTGAGCATGGTTTCACTGAAATTCTCATTGATTAGAAATCCACCTGTTTTATCCATTGCTGAAAATTGTGTCATGTCTGCTTAGAACATGGTGATTCGTGCATCATTTCTCTTTTGTTGTCTTGTCTAAACATTAGACTAAACATTATCTTGTTTGAAAATGGTGGTGGTTTCCTTTCTGCTTGTATTGTTTCCGACTGTTTGTTTGCATTACTCTGCTGTAAATGTAACCTTCCTAACTGAGCCAATCTCTCTGACGTCCCTCAGATGGTCCAGAAAGTGTGAATGTTAAAGGGAAGAATGCGGTGAAGTTTGAAGAACCTGCAGAATTAAAATGCCTTGCAGACTCTTTTCCTCCCAGTATATTCTCATGGAAGCTCAATGGTACAGCAATGAACCACAGCCGGGCAGACATTATTATTGACAAGGCCAAAGTCACGGACAGTGGCACGTACACCTGCGAGGCATTCAACCCTATCACAAGAATGATGAAAACAACGACACACAAACTCGCAGTCACAGGTAAATGTGGCAGTTCAAGAATTCATTCCCATTCTCAGCTCACAAAACGTAAAATCCACATCTTGGCATTTTAAGAGTATCGGTATAGGTATTATCGGTATATAATTTTTGTAATTCAAATACTGATATATTGGCAAGACTTATTAGTTAAATAATAAGTTAATATTTATGTTTCATGTTAATTTACATCCTATTATATTATAATAATTTAATTATATGAGATTATAATGTGTTAATATAGTATTATTACATATTGCATTTATTAAGTAGTATTTATCTAGTGTTTAGCGATTATGACATTATTGGCATAGGCCACTAAGTATGCCTACTGATTAATCTTAATTTTGAGTGGTAATTCATATCCAAATTTAGACCGATATATGTCAGCCAAACCGATTAATCGGCCAATATTTGTCCAATTTGAGAATAGTGGCTTATAATGTGCCAGATCAACATTTGTGCAAAAATCTATGATTATTTCAATGACAAAATGAACTATTTTATTTAGAGTGAATATTAAGTAAAATGTTTATTTAATATCAATAATAATAATAATATTTTAATGATATTAGAAATAATAATTTATGTAAATGTAAATTATTATTTTGAAATACTTTACAATTCATAAGGTGTTATAATTATTTATTTATTGATTTGTTTAATTCTTTTAATTTGGTTAAAATAATAATAATAATAAAAACTGCAATTAGTTTCCCCAATTTGTTTGGCCTGTTTTCTTAATAAAATAATGCACACACAATTTCATGGGGTGGTAAAAAGTCACTGGCCACTGGCAGATATTGCAGAATGATAGGTTGTTTATGTGTTTAGAATACAGAATGTGATTTTTGTGTTTGTGGAGTGTGTGTGTGTGTGTGGTCTATAATAATCTAAACACCTTCTGTTTTGCAGAGGTCGGTGCGGTAGACGAGGGCCTGTCTGGTGGAGCCATTGCTGGGATTGTAATTGGCGTGCTTGTGGCCGTGATCATCATCGCTTGTATTATAAAGCGCAAGAAAAAGTCAAGCACGGAGTGAGTCTAAAATTCATTCTTTTACCCTCCCGTCACTTTCATGAATCCAGTGCATATAAATGTAGGTTTGATTTGAAATTATTTTCACCATTAAGCCTCAAAAGCTGTCAGTTGTCTCTTTCTCTTCACATTCATAGCTTGTAGATCTTTACTCTCCATGTCGCCCCTGTCCCGTTCTTCTCATTTTTTGCATCCTCAGACGTTTAAACCTAATAATTAGGCAATGACAGTACATGCAAATAACTTTACCACTTAACATTTTGACCTCACAGGATACGGGGGTGGTTTCGGTCACATGATACATGACAGTGTCAATAAGTAAACCTTCAGCCCACATGTGTTGTAAGATATGATTGTCAGAGAGGATATGATGCATTCTGCCACTTCATGATTCCATTCCAGTCACATTGATTTGCCAAAGGGGCAGTTTAAAATGAAATGAAGTGATTATTGTTCTTTCGTTACTCCAGTCTTTTATAGCTAGTGGTGTTAGTGTGATGATACACTGCTAATCATGTGGAAATATTGTTCAGTTATGTCTGTGGTATTTAACTCAGAATTTTGTTAAGCACTTTTAATTGATAATGTAATCGCACTTATTCATCAGTATAATTTGAACGTTTGGGGTGGGTAAGATTTTTCTCTTATGTTCATCAAAGCTGCATTTATTTAAGAAAAATACAGTAAAAACAGTAATATTGTAAAAATATTATTTCAGTTTAAAATAACAGTTTTCTATTTGAATATATTTTAAAATGTAATTTATTCCTGTGACTCAAAGCTGAATTTTCAGCATCATTACTCTAGTCTTCACATGATCCTACAGAAATCGGTCTAATATGCTGATTTACTGCACAAAAACTGTAGTATGGGCTGTTAATGGAATAGTTAACATGAAACTGAAAAATCGGTCATTATTTACTCAGTCACACGTTGTTCCAAAATCTGTTTCAAACCCAAACAGGAAAAAAACTAAAAGTAGTTGACTTGTATGACTCACATATTCCATATCTGAAAGTTCTGATATTTTTGATCTTTTGTGTTCCACAACAGCGTATTCGGAATGTTTGGAATAACATCGAGCTAAATAATGACAGAATTTTCATTTTGGGGTTTACTGTTGCTCTATGGACGTTTTATTGCCTTTGTGCTCTAAAATCAATGGTTGTCTCTTCTCTTCCCTTCTTCAAATGTTTTACCGCCAAGTACTCCATGAGGTCTGTTTGCCAAGCCTTCCACACCCAATCCTTCTACGCTTGACTCTGAAAGCAGACAGCAGCTTACAATTCTATCTTGTGCTGAGATGATAAAGAAACTAGAGGACAATGTTTTTTTAAATTTAGTCTAGAAAAAGTTTGACATTGATTTTAGCAGACAGATGATAGTACATGGAAAAATCTGTCTTGTTTAGACAAACGTCTAATCACTACAAGAAGAGCTTCATATCATACTGATAATTTCATAGAAAGCTTGTGTTCCTACCTAAATGGATTAAATGGCAGCCAATGGAAAGGACAGGAAATACTGGAAATGCAAAACTAAGCTTTGAGGGATATCATATGCAAATGCCACTGATTAGTCTTACAGACAGATGTTTATTCAATAAGAAACTAGCACGACTCACAGAAATACAAACACACACGCACTGCATGCAAAACCACCCAGGTGGAGGTAGTACATTGCATTTCTTTGTCAATTTTTAGATGCGTTTCAATTTCTGAAATGCAAAGTTTTTGTAAAGATCTAAAGAGTTTTACTACCAAAATGTATCAGATCTTTAACTGGAAGTTGCAATTCGAGTTTTTCATCTGTGACAAATGCATCCTGGGAGGTAGTGAAGGCCAACTCCCCTTCATTTGTTTTCTGATGCCTCTCATAGATAACGTACAACCTTAGTGCATTTTCTCTTAGACCACCTGTGGATTGCATGTTTTTGTCAACAGATATATATATATATATATATGTATGTATGTACTTATAAGTACTTACTTAATGCCCGTAACGCCCAAGGCGCATAGGGCAGCAATGAAGTCTTTCCACTTTTGTCTATCGTGGGCAAGAAGGTTATCCTGCCCCAGTTGTAATTGCTATTTTAATAAGTATATAAACATAAATATTTGTGAAGAACATCTCTTCTTTTTCTCTTTTCTCACCATTAATTTGAGATTGACTATCTGTCAGTCTCTTTGATTGACTTTTCTATTCAGGTGAATAAAAATGACACAATTGCCTACATTTACCTGCTATATAATTATCTTTTAATCCGAATCTCTTGTGTATCTCGATGAAGGAATCAGAAGTACAATTAAACGTCATTGAGGAATATCGTTGGAATGTCAGTCATGTCCACACACGTCTCACTGTCTTACCCTTGTGAGCATTTCTGCAGCAGTTTCAGCCTTGCACAACTGTCGGTCTTGTTGCTTGCTTATTTCGCTCTGTTATCTGTCGTGCATGTCAATAAAGTCTCACTAACGCTATGAGGGCTTGACCTATTTATCATAGCATGAATTGTTCAGATAGGTTTTTTTGAATAGAAATTTATTTTGCAAGAATATATTGTTCACTCTGTAATTACATCACCAGAAGAAGAACATAACATGTGTAATTTGTTTGTAACGAACAGGTTTTTAATGCTTGTGCTACATCATATGCAAGTGAGTAACGTTGGCTGTGTTCCAAAACATTGTGAACCACCTACCTAGACGCCCAGGCATCATGTGTGCACCACCCAAACTTATGCTTTCTTCGAAGTTACCTTATTTCATTTGAAGTCATACTTTGCTGAGAATGCAATGCCAGAATGAAGTTCATTGAAAACATGAAAAATAATCTTACCAACCCAAATGGTAGTGCAGTTATATCTAATTGAATACTGAATTGAATCAATAAAAATAGCTAAAGCTAATTAAAATAGACTTTTACCCAAAGTTTGTGTGTGTTATGTATCCTTATGCTATAAGAGTAAATGGCGTTTTCAGTCACTGGTGAGGTTTTATTTGAGTTATGCCGAGTCATTGTTTTTTGTGTTTACCTATAGTGACTACACCCCATTCTTTCATAACCTAGTGGTTTATTTCATTCATTTATTCCTCCATATATGCAATATTATAATCTGTCCATGATGTAATTACTTCCTCCTTTTTTCTTTAGCATTCCATCTCCATATTAAAGCGAGATGTGGCGGAGAAGTGACCCGGTAAGTGCATAGCATCTTTTGTTTCGCTAACAGACTAACATTATTTATTTAACTTCATTTGTTATGCTAGCTCTTTAGGCTGTTGACTTTCCTGCATGATACTCCCGGGCTTTCAAAAGGCTTCCTTATCATATATCAGTTTCGGTTTTGATTAAAGGGGTCCTATTATGCTCTTTTACAACGTCTTGATTTTGTTTTGGGGGTGTACTAGAACATGCTCTCATACTAGGTTGTTCGAAAAACACATTATTTTTCACATATTTTACATTATTACAACACCTCTCTCCCCAGTCTGGCATGAACGGCTCGAATAGTTCCTGTATCAAATGAAGGCCCGCCTTCTGAAATATGAAATGTGCTGTGATTGGTTAGCTGGGCCAGAGTGTGTTGTGATTGGCAGCACTCGGCGCCTAGTCGGGAAATGACACGCCCCTTACCATAGCCGCCTGCGAGCTTCAGTGTAAATATTGCATCAAAATCAAATCAATTTGAGCGCCATCTAAGCGCCGATTGTAACCACTCTAAGTTCGTCTGCCTTGGGAAAGCTAGCGTGTCTCTGACATAGTGATAACACTCGTTGCCTTCTCTAGCGGAGCTAAACCAGGTCTCGTCCCATTCGTCGATCTTTGTGATATCACAAATCCCGGAAAATATGCGTTGTAGTCCAAACGAGTCGTTCGTTGTAGTTTTTGAAAAGATTTCTGTTTAATAAAATATCTCCTTTTGAACTGGACTTTGAGCTTTGTAACTTTGCAGATCTTTTTTATGCTCAAACAGCAACAAATTACAGACTAACTAAAGTTGAAAAAGTGAAAAAGCATAATAGGACCCCTTTAAATGCCTGACTTCACTCTGTAAACTTTCGCAAAGATATGCTTAAAAGAAAGAAGGGATATGCTTCGATCTGAAGGACTAACAAAGGAGTGGCTCTGCTGTCGCAAGAAAACTAGTTTTCATGTCTGTTCATTGGGTGTGGGAAGCTTTCTGCTATAGAAGCCTGTTTTACTCTTGCCGTTGTGTTATTTTAATGGCAAATGGGGAATATTTGTGCCGGCGTCGATGTGTTGAAAGTATTGTCAGTCTTCACTCACAAATCCATTACATGGGTCACCAGATATGTACATCTCTTCCTCAGAGCATATCTTCAAGACCAACCCTTCAGCCATTTATCAGTCTTTTTATCTGCAAAAGCCTTCTATCAAGGCAACTGGAAAAACTGCCCTCACAAGTGACTTAATACTGAAGGTTTGGCCCTTTCAGGAACTCAACGTGTTTGTAAATGTCCATTGTTTTTCTGTTATACCCTGTGCAAACGTACCCCAATCTTAAGGACACGATAGAGGTCGACGGCGAGACAGTTGACCCTTATCTGCATCTCTTCCTTCGCTTGGCTGAAGTGGACACCTTCCTTTGTTCCTCAAGAAACATGATCCAGCCTCCATCACCCTCTCAATCTTTCTCCTGATCCTAAACCGACAGCTCGGCTTGACGTCACAGAGGTCCGTTTGAAAGAGCTCTGTTTTGGGTAACCAAATCCACCCTGAAATGCACGAGGGGTGACGAGACCGTCGCGTGTTTGAGATCTCAACACACCCACAAGGCACTGAAACATCGAGATTTGAAGACCTGTTCAACATGCTCGGAAGTCCCAAGGCAATGAAGATATGCAGGGCTGACTTGACCTGAAGCCGAAGGCTCTGTTGAGCTGTCAATGGAAGGTCAGTCGTGGCAAAGCGTGCCTTGGAGATTAAAAGCTTCTTACACCTTTGCCAGGTTTTGCTACACTTTTTTTAACCCCTTATCTCTTCCCATGTCTCTTAGTGAGCCGCACACATTGTATTTTAAGAGTAAGGCAAGATCCAACATGCTTGAACTCAGGAAGCGGGGGGAAAAAATGCATTTTTGCGGACAATGACATACCACAGTTTTGCAGCGAAATTGCTAGTCTGTCCTTGGGCGTCCCCACAACGATTCGTCCTGCTGTAATCAGGATTCCAATGGATTTCTAAAACAGGCCTGTTTTCAAAATCACCTTGAATTGACACAAGCATATCTGAAGTTTAAAACGGAAAAGTGTTCATATTAATACGCTGATTATTGCGCTCCAGTAAGAGAGAAAATGTTTTTTTCTACTTCTTCTTATCAACAGATGCCTGATATTGATTCTTTCCTTCATTTAGTTTTTCTCTTCGACCAAGACATGGATCTTGTAGTGATCTGTCTGATGTTGCTCAGATCTCTCTAGATAGAGATGCATCTGTGTAGAATCTCAGCTTGTCTTTTTGTTTGTTTGTTTGTATATAGGGGCGGAGCAGCCATTATTACTGGTATTTCCCCTTCATTTTTAGAGACTTCTAGGTTAATCACTTCATTTTTTGGAAATAATCTTTATTTAAAGAGTTATGGATGAAAAAAACCCCCAAAAAGCCTCTGCTCCTTTATGGCAAATATATATTCAAATATATTACAAATATATATTTTAAATTGTATTTCAAAATACGGCCAAGTTAAATAAATTGCTGAAAAATTTGCATAAATGTATTTTTCATACGTTTTGGTTAATTTTATCTCTTTATATATATATATATATATTGGCATTTGAAGGTTTAAACCGAATGTGTTTTCAATTTGAAAAATATATTTCATTATATAATATAACAATATAATAATATTAATATGTATAATATAATCTTAACATATATTTAAAATATATATTGGCCACAGAAAAATATATTTTTTGCCATATGGGCCAAGTGAACAAACATCTAAAAAAAAAATGTCCAGCATCCACTCCAGCAAGGACTATGAGGCAAACAATATAATATTCATGAGCTAATCTGATTTATAACATGTCCTTGCCCCACTTTCTCCTAACCCCATGTACGCAAGCACCATTCAGAACCATCGTAATATGCATGTATGTGCAAATCAACAGCAAAAACACACTAACACATTCATTAAATATATTTGAACTCCCTTTTAGCATTAAAATGCACAAATATCATGAAATGCTGAGCTTTATAACTCCTTGCAAACCTGTAGACAGTTTTATCTCCGGCAGCCTGTGTGTGTTTTTAGTGGTGGAGAGACCGGTAATCATACGAGTCTGACCACAGATACACTGAATTAACGGTTAGTTTGTACTGTGCCGCACTGTGGAGACAGATCTCATTTGACAGGGTGTAGATGCTAACGTCTTAACCTTGTGTATTTTGCAATAGCTAATATTAGGTGTTGTGTTGAATGTGAAATATGTTTTTGTATAGGATAGATAGAATTTCAAATGCAATTGGATAATGTCAAATTTGAAATGGAAATTGATTTTTTTTTTTTAAGTAATTGTTCTTGTGCACAAATGCTGTTCAGTGCATTAAACTTATTTGAATAGTCACCAAACAACATCTATTTGGGAAATGTTCTCAGGTTGTTTACTGGGTGTTTATATTCTCTCAAAGTGCAGTGCAGGCATGTTTTATATTCTCAGTGTTTCTTTTAATATAATTTATTTTCAAATGTTTTGCTTTTATGTAACTGTTATATGTTATCTGTTTAAAAAAAGAATGTTTGAACTGCTCCACTTTTTTGTGTCATTCATTGATTAACAAGAAAATAATAATTGTAAGACTTGAATTTGAGTTTATTCTTGCAATTCTGAATTTACATCTTGCAATTCCGTTTTTATCAAGTTTGACTTGCAATTTCTACATTTACATCCAACAATTCTATGTTTATATATCGCAATTCAGCGTTTATATCTTGCAATTCTAAGTTTATATCTCACTGTTCTGAGTTTATCTTGCAAGTCTGTGTTTGCATCTGGTAATTTCTCCCAATTCTGCATTCACGTCTAGCAATTTTTGCCATCATATTTTGCAATTCTGCATTTATATCCCACAATTCTGATGCGGAATTACAAGAAAAATTCTGAATTAAAGAACAAAGTCACAATTACCCTTTTTTTATTTGCTGACAGAAACAAGTCATACTCCCATTTTAGTAAGATTTCTTAGAAGTCTTCAGAAATACATTTCTGAAATTGACTGTTTTTGTCACGTTTTGTGCTCTTAGAAAAAAGGTAAAGCGAGAGATCTCATCTGTATAAAAATATACGAATAGTGAGTATATGTTTGGACAAAAATCTGTGTAGTGCAGGATGAGTCATCAATATTTTTGGTCCATTATGAAAGACTGTAAATGTTAAATGTGTATAGTATATGTGTATAACCGTTTTTAATTTCATGGGCTTTACAGCGTTTACCATCATAATGTTGTATGCAGTTCTTTTTTTCCTATTGAAGACAGTTCTTTATGGACGTTAATATCACTATTCTTGGTCTGGTGTGAAGGAGCTGTGTTGAACTGCACAGGTCTCCTTTCATATGTGACCAGTTGAGTGGGTTCATTGGCCTTTAGTCAACAGAAAGATCCTTAAAGCTGAGGTGTATTTAATACCTTCACTGTGGGAGACTCGACTTGAATGTGTGCACCCATTGAATAAATGTAAATGTCAAAAAAGAAACAAATGTGTGTTTAGTCAGTGTCACAACGGCCCGTTGTGAATTGCAAGTGCCACGCCTGCCGTTCTGTTGAGGCTTTTGGTGTTTCTCAAGCACTCCCTGACTGATGCACTGAATGTGTGCTCTAAACCAAAGTATGCATGACTGCTTTCCCACTGGCCATAAAGCACAATTTATCATCTCCTCAGAAATATAATCCAATGCGGCACAGGCCTGAATGAGTATGTTTGTACAGTATGTTGCTTGAACAGGTTTCTTTTTTATTTTGTATAGTGAGAAAAATACTATGGTAACCACAGTTTAGGCTAAAATATTATAGATAAATAACTACACAAACTGTGGTGTTTGCCATAAAAAACGTCATTAAAAATCAGCAAAAATAAACAAAAAATATATATAATTTAAAAATGTTCCAAGTTGTAAACAAAACAAAGATTATTAGTATGTTTGACAAGAAAATATTAATTTTACTTTAAAGTCCCCATGAAATCAAAATTTAAGTTTTTTGGGGTTTTAGTATCAATATATTAATCTTAAGGTTATCTATAAGGCAGTGTGCTCCAAATCAGTGACAAAATTCGCATTTAGAAGTTATAAGCATTCAAAGCTTGCAGTTCGTCACTTCCGCCAAAACGGCTCAACGTTTTTTCTGACGTCACATCGTACTTCAGCTTCTCATCAAAATTAACTAGTGTTTTGGTTTACTCTATATGGTTACCATGGTACATTTTTGTCATTGGTGTTGCCTGTATTTGATTTTGCATGTCAACAAATGAGTTCAGAGGCATTCACTGATCCAATAAAATAAAAACACAAGCCTCATTCTGTGATACGGTCAGGAAGGTGACAACCTGGTATGACAAAAGGTCTCGGTTAGGTCCTTTATATGGTAGTCTGCTCATTTGGTCCAGACCCACCCATACAAATAGTCCCGGACCTGATTGTACTGTGCCTTTAAGTTTATGTGCATGGTCTGCGTGTTTGTGTGCGGTCATCGTATTTTACCATCCCGGCTCACGGTTCAGTAAACAGCCCGAGGCTTCAGAATGAAGTCTTTCGGGTTTGTGTCTTCTCGCCCCTCTCTTGTCCTGGGCTTCACACAATAGCTCTCCTCCCCTGCCACACTCTCATTGTGTCTCTACCGTATCATTCTCTGTGCCTTCTCTGAGTCAAGCTTTTAGGGGAGGAGATTGTCTTCCTTTAAGTTACAAACCTGTTTGTCTGCAGTATTCTGTGTGAACCAGTAATTTAGCTGTAGTGGCTCCTTCGCATGTGTGTGTGAGAAACAGAAAGGAGGAGGTGCATGACAGTGTTGTGTGTTTTTGGAATTCCGCTGTTGAATCAGTTCGCCAACTTGCCTGTGCAAGTCCCAAAGGCTGTCATGACCTTTGGTTAGTTTTCCTAGCAAATCACTGCATTCGTTTTATTCTGATTTAGCAAATTTATTACTAAATTTATCAAGCATCTAATAAATGCATGCTTTATTTTATTAAGTATCTAATAAATGCATGATAAGTAAATAAATGATAAGTTTGAACTGTTGGAATTTTCTAATTAAAACAAAGTGTTAAAAACGTAGTTGACTCAAAAATGTAAAAATATGTCATTATTTATTCAACTTCATGTTATTCTTGTACTTCTGTGGAACACAAAAGAAATCATTGGGTCCAATATTGTATTGAAAACCATTTTTGGGAAGGTAAGTTTAAAGGGATAGTTCACCCTAAAATGAAAATTACCCCATGATTTACTCACCTTCAAGCCGTCCTAGGTGTATATGACATTCTTCATTCAGACAAATACAATCGGAGTTATATTTAACATATATATATTTAACAGTTATATTAAACATCCTGGCTCTTACAAGTGTGCCTTCTCTGAGTCAAGCTTTTAGGGGAGGAGATTGTCTTCCTTTAAGTTACAAACCTGTTTGTCTGCAGTATTCTGTGTGAACCAGTAATTTAGCTGTAGTGGCTCCTTCGCATGTGTGTGTGAGAAACAGAAAGGAGGAGGTGCATGACAGTGTTGTGTGTTTTTGGAATTCCGCTGTTGAATCAGTTCGCCAACTTGCCTGTGCAAGTCCCAAAGGCTGTCATGACCTTTGGTTAGTTTTCCTAGCAAATCACTGCATTCGTTTTATTCTGATTTAGCAAATTTATTACTAAATTTATCAAGCATCTAATAAATGCATGCTTTATTTTATTAAGTATCTAATAAATGCATGATAAGTAAATAAATGATAAGTTTGAACTGTTGGAATTTTCTAATTAAAACAAAGTGTTAAAAACGTAGTTGACTCAAAAATGTAAAAATATGTCATTATTTATTCAACTTCATGTTATTCTTGTACTTCTGTGGAACACAAAAGA